TCTGCACCTGCAGACTCCAGCCAGCTGCCCCATGCAGTGTTTTCTCTTTGATTACTTGCCAAAATACTCCATCTTGGCATCTCTCTTCCTTTCTTTCCCTTTCTCACCAAAGCACTTAACTCACAGAGCTCTCTCTCTTGTCTCAGAAAGTAAATGAGAGAATGAATCCATATTAGAACTAATTCAGCAAAAAAATACTGCTTTGTTTCAAAGTTAATGGGTTTCCTCTCCAGCTCAGTATGTGGCTCTAAGACCAGCAGTGGCAGGAAGGATGGGGATGTTGAGGGCAGCAGCAGTGCCCAGGGCTGGGGGAGGGCAGGGAAATTTCCTTCTCTGGCAGTGCTGTCTCTGAGCGTTTGTGTAACTGCAGGGTGCAGTGACAAGAGCAGCTTGAGCTGATCAAAGGATGCCTTTTATCAGCTCCTCTTGGCTCTTGTGCTGCTGGTGAGTGCTGTTCCTTTACCTTTCTCTTCTGCTGTCCTACTTTGTGACTTGCCCAAGGGCACAGATTCCTACAGTCTCCTTCCAGCTTTCCCCCTGCCCCTTGCATTATCTCCCATAATCATGAGGCCACTGTTTCACCTGGCTAATCTGAAGGAAAAATTGGGGAGGGGCGGTGGGGGGCAGCTTTCTGCTGGATCAACCAACTCCCTTCACAGGCTGAGACTGTGACTGATGAGTGACTGTGTTTATCTTCCCTGTTCAGTTTTTGGCCTGCCCAGGTTCCTGACCTGCCTCTGCCCAGCTGCAGGAAGGGCAGGGCTGTGCAATGGCACAGGTAGGGTTACATTGGTAGAAACTCAAGGGCGGGCTCATAAATACTGCACAGACTAACGCTGTGTGCTCTGCTGCAGAAAAAAAGACAACAGAATCTCAAAAAGCACTTCTGCATTATTTAAGACATGAAGAACTTGTCGTTTTTAACTCTTACCAGCTGGGTTTGCAGCATTACAGCTACAGCAAAAGGTACAGTGAACTACACTGGGTGTTTCAGCCTGCAGTATTTGATTGCTTCAAGATTTGTGAGGGTTTTGGGAAAATGACCACGGCAAGCTTGTTGCCAGTAGGCTTCTACTTGCCATATGCACGTGTACTGGAGAATGGTTACTGGTTACTTTCAAATAATAGTTGCTCTCCTCATCAGGCTCCAGCAGCAGCAGCACTGGACTCAACTTACATCACAGTCTCAAATCAATGAGTCAATGTGAATGTGTTAATTTACAAATTATTTGCATGATAGCAGAAAAATAGTGCTGCACAATTGTTTCTATGCACCTGACCTCTTTACCTGGCATTAGCACTTCTTGATGCTCAGGTAGCTTCTAGCTACCTGAGAGAAGCACAGCACTAGGCTGATGTCCCACATCTGGCATTAGGACATTTATCTTTTCCTTTATATGGAGTGCACTTATTCCACATAAGCAGTTCCAGGTCAGTTTTCTCACCTATAAACAGGGACTGATAGTAAGGTAGTAGTATGGTAGATCTTTCTCTCCTGACCTGCCAGAACTGTTCTGTCCTGACAGTCTGTTGACCAGACAGGACTTGTTTGCCTGCTGTCATCATCTGTCTTCATCTCACACAGACCTACTCCATTTCCCAGAAAAAGTCCTGGATCCTCCAATCAAAGCAATGCCAGTATGTGAATTTTCTATTGCTTTTCCCATGGGCCTTCAAAAGGAGAGTCTCAGCAGCAAAACTTCCTTGTGCCAGCAAAGTAAAAACCAGTCCCTGGCCAGTCATACCAGAGTTGGAGAGTTGGGAGGGTGTGTGGGGACAAACACAAGTTACCTGTACAAAATAGCCCAAGAACAGCCCTGTGAGTGCTGTGTCTCTCACTGGCACCCAGGACTCTGCTGGAAATGGGACAAGGGAGCTTACACACATGGAGCATTACTATTGAAAAGCTCATGAGGGATTTGTCTTTGAAATGATTGCATTTAAATGCCTTTTTCAAAGTTATGTAATAGGTTATCTTAATTTCAGCTCTGCTTAACACCAGTAATATTTAATGGTTTATTTGTAGTATTACTAAAGTTGGTGGTTATATATAAGGTTATGTCTGAAGTACATGAATTCTTGTTCTTCAGAGAGAGCTCTTTTTTGAATTTTACTCATTTATGCAAGGAAGGGGAACTTTCCTGAGGGACTGAAAATATAACATAGAAACAATTTTAATGTAGGTTCAATAGAAAGATTACATGAAGTAAAAATGTTCATTGTGGTCTACTTTCATCTCTCTCCACAACCAAACAAAAACACATCTGAGGTTTGTTTGAGCTGGAAAAAAATTAAAATTCAGATAACCGAAACAAGCAGGTGGACAAAGGAGCAGAGCAGCTGGAATAGGCCCATACTAAATGTTGCCAAATTTTACACAGTCTTAATCTGAGAGGCCACTTTGGCTTTAAGTTTGTAAAATGTTGACTTTATGCTCAGGGGACATGGGGAAATTTTTATACATGATTGAGATAAAATGTGAAGGGAGCTACATGGTTCAAGCTGGTTAACAGCACTTGCAGTTAAACAGAACCAAAAGTGCAATGATTGCTTTACACAAAGTAACTCCAGCAACCAATATTCTCTTTAATGTTGCAATATTCTTTGTGAAAGTTAGGGCTTGTTTTTCCAAAATTATTTTCCAAGTAAAACCAATTAATTTAATTGCAACCTCTATGACTTCCTGAGTATCATCTGCCTTCTAGTTCTCTGTTCACTGCTAGTTGCTTAGACATGAATTCCAGTGTGACTAGACCAGCTGAAAATGTTTTTAGCTGCTCTGTAATAACATCTTCATCCTTAATAGTAGGAGAAGGAAAAATGTCATTAAAAGAAGTTAGAACTTTTGAACTAACTTTAGAACTATAAGCAGACTCAAGAGGGTAAAACAGAGAAAAGAAAAACATCAGGCTAAGTTCAAACTAATGAGGAGGGCTGAGAAGCATAAGAAAAAATTTTTAAGGTAGTTGCTATTTTAATTATAAACAGGAGAAAGTTAATTAATCTCGAGAGAAGCTTTGTAATATTAGAATATCTAATTTTTAATTCCCTACATTTAATTCCCTCACATTTAATTTTTAAATGGCACATTTTCAGCAGTACTCCCATGGTTAGGGTGTGGCTGTCATTTTCTTGGAAAAATAAATCAGCATGAAGGTTAGTACAGTGCAAATGAATGTAAATTAAAGCACAACATAATCAATGAAACCTAAAACAGACAGCTTGTGAAGCCACAGCTGGAGCACCTTTCCATATTGGCCCTGTAATAAAACCCTTTAAGAACTTTCCATGGGACAGACTCTCCTGTTTTCTGTGCTGCTCTGGTGGCATCACTGGCCTTTAGTACAGGTGCAAAACTCCAACCATGCAAAAGGCTGTCCAGACCAGAATTTCAGTGCACATCAGCCAGTCCAAGAAACAGCTTTTCCCTTGTTTTATATATCCAACCATCTAATCCTACAAATGGTTTTTATCACTTTCATTTCTGTGCAAACCAACTCCAGGAGAGATATATGTGATTAAAATTACATTAAAAGTGATTCTTTGATATCTCCAAGATTACATGCCTCTCAGGACCACATCATCAGCCTGAGAGGCTGAATTAACCACTTCCTGGGAACTAGATACTGTAAGAAGGAAGGTACAAGTGAGGGACAGTAATGACCATCCTGTAATTATGATACAGGAATGGGAACCCTGAAGGAATAGATTTGGAGGTGCCTGTGCTACAAAGCTTACTCCATACCTGAAGCCTACTGAACCATTCAGTTTTAAAGTAAGCTCAAATGTTCTCCATCTAGAAGTTCCAGTAGTGTTGGTACTTGATATTTTTGCTACTTTAAGTATAGTAAAAGGACTACAAGCTCTCCCACTTAGGGGTCTGTAATTGTGGGCATCTCAAGCACTCCCACTGTTAGGAAAAAAAAACCCTCCTTGATTTCAAGGAGGTGGATATTTCATAAGATGGAAACTATTGCAACATTTGCTTGCTGCTAGGTGAAGTATTTAATGTTCAGAACAGCTGCCTAATGTTTCACGATGTGCACAAGTTTAGGCGGTGCTCAGATGTCCATTATGTAAATTCTACCTCAAAGTATATTTTATATTTTTATTGATTTGTCCCAAATGACTTCCACACACATGCTCAGCTGCTGGATTCCTGTTGTATGGAACAGGCTGACCAGCAGATGTCCCCAAATTCTACAAAATCACACTTTCAGCTCCTGAAATCTTCAGCGCCCTTTTGCACATTCCAAAAGATGAAGCCACTTGAGGCCATAAATACTCTGGCTACTTATTCACATTCTTATAAAAACTGAAGTTCTGAGGTGGGCAAAGCTTGACTGCTGTCACAAAGAACCTCTATTGTCATAGAAAAGTTTTTGGATATTTGTTCACTTTTTATGACATGCTGCCATTGATTGTCCCTTGTTTTATTTTCAAAAGCACTCTTAATATTTTTTTCCTAGAACAGCAATCCCCAACCAAATATGACCTGTAATACTTTTATCTGGAGGTTCAGTCACAGGAGGCAAGACTTTTTCCAATATCAATGATTTTGACTCGGATATTACAAAACTCATGAACTACATCCTTTATGCACATCAAATGCTGCTTTTACAATTCCCCACAAACTATTTTAAAGCTAAGGAGCTTGTAGGAGGTTGTAGACACAAAGGCTGCTTGCTGGTGAAGGAATGAGGAGAGGCAGATTAGTGAGAAATAGAGGAGACATACTGAGCCATGCGTTGTAGCTGTGTCTTTCCTCCCTACAAATACCAGAAACTCACCTGATTTGTTATAAAGCAGACTAGACTAGTATGTAGGAGCAAGAGGAAGAAAGAGTCTAAATTATTGCAGATTTGTTTAGAACATGAAGATTTGCTTCTTAGGGGCACTGAAAATTAATTCCTCTAATTCCACTGTTAGAAGAACACAGGTACGAACAAAACCAGCAGAACCCACCCCTGTGAAATGAAAGACAATTGCACAAAACGAGGTGGACTGGCATTGAAAGTTTATCCACTTCAGAAATCTATACATTTAGATACAAAAGGGAATTACACAAAAATTTACATATTTGCAACTCTCATATTACACAGGTAAAGAGCATGTTATGGTTTAAATGGATGTTTACAATTTAAAAATCTTCTGAGTATAAGTTGAGCAAACAATCAAATATCTGAATAGGGCCCCAAAGAAAGCATACCATAAGTATGATTGTCATGACACAATGAACTCAATTTATTCCCAGACAGGGAAAATCTTACTCTATAGACATTTGTGAATATTGCAAGAGACTTGAACTTACTCTGATATACATAAAACTATTTGCCGAAAAAGTTTTTAAAATGCTGTCTTGGCTGAACCTTCTTTAGAGAGGATTAATGTCAGGGTAGTACATCACAGGGATACTAATTTAAAATAAAAGGAATTAGACTTAAAATATCCAACATTCAACAGAATCTGAATTTTAAGTACTTCATATTCTTTATACACATAAGTCCTATTACAGCAGGAACAGAGATCAAAAGACTGATATTGTGTATGTCTCTGTCTCTTGAAAAAGATGGAGGCAGAATTTCCTTCCTCAATTCCTGTGTATCATCTTCATATTCCATCTGATTAGGGACTAAATCCTGGTTTATTGTTTTCATAAAAAGAAAAGCATTATTCTGTAATAGTTTGGTTATGATTTTAAAGTTGTGACCATCTAACAAGATTAAAATGGGCATGTATAAACTTTGAAAAGGTAACAGAAAAAAAGTTTATTAATAGAAATTCAGACTGAAAAAACTAGATACCTTCTCCTGTTTCAGGAGTGCTTGAATTATTTACTATTGTTACAAGTATTGTAAACTTATTATTAGAGTATGAGACCATTATGACATTTTTGGATCAACAGAATTACTTAAGAGGTTCTTAAAATTAATTTCTCCTCCATATTAAAATTCAGGAATAGAGTAATTTTGGCATACATGTCAAGCCCTTGGATTTAGGACACCTGTCCCCAAAATATTAGGGAAAAAATGTTAAAAGCACCCTGGTAATGTCAATCACTGACAGTAGATTAAAGATAAATTTTTGTTTTGCATGCAACTACAAACTGAGTAGAAATTTTAATGATAAAATAAGTCTTGGTAGCAGATTAGGGTAGTGTGTTTTGCCCTAGAACAGAAAAAAAATGCATCTGGCTGACAACAAAATGTGACCACAAAGATTTTTGGATTGATAGTAGCATCACAATCATAGTTTCATGGTTTCAGGTGGTTTTTTTGTGCTTTGTTTTAAAGAACCTTTGACTATGGCAATGTGAGATAAAACTGCTATTTGGAATTTGGAATTCAAATGGCTCCCTTCCCTTCCCACAAATCTCAAGTAGCCCTTTCTCTTTTCTCATATCCTTTAAAAACACCAGTGGCATGAACCCTTCCAGTTCAGAACTAGGTAACAGGGCTCCAATGAAAGCCAAATCAATATTGTTCCACACTTCTCTGAAGTGCACATCATTAAGCAGTACATGGGATGTCACACCCATATCAGCCAGATAGTACCTGATAGTGATTACTGTACTCAGAAGGTACAAGAACATAAGAGGTGGCTTAAAAAAAAGCCTAATTTCCTGATCATCTTTACCTATAGTAAATAAAATAATTTGCACAGAAATCTTCATTATGTACACATCAACTATACAAGTAATACAAAATATCTCAGTTCAGCACCAATGCTGACTTTAGGAGCAGTACCTCCAAGTCAGAGTATTAGTATTCCCTGTCACAATAAATTCTGACATACTTCCAGAAGTGTCCATTTGCTAGATCAGCTGTATTCAGATCACTTCTCTGTTCACGTTCATCTTCAACATTCCAAGGAGATTAGTAATAGCAGCAGTTTTATAAAAGGTGTGGGTATCCTGGACAGCTTTCACAGCCAAATCAGTTCAGATCTTTGTAAAAAAAAAAGCCCATGAAATCCACTGATCTGGCCTCTAAGGTTTTACCAGAAGTTCATTAAATGGAACTTATATAACAATTTATGTGAGAATAAAAGGTGGAAACAGACTCAGTTTGTGTGTGCAAACAGCAGGATGTCCAACAGTGGCAGGAGTCCTGTCCTCAGGGGCAGCAGGGTCTCAGTGAGCCGTGGCTGTCCTGTCACCTTGGCTTAGAGTAACCATAAGGACACCTGAGAATCAGGCTGTCATGACTGGGTAAGACATGAGTGCTGTAGTATTCCACCAAACTTCCCATGTTCAAAAACAGGATATCTGAATCCAGGTAAAACTTGCTGTCCTGTTATAGAACAAAAACACATGTAACCATTGACAGCAATGCTTCCAGCTCAATGTCTAAAGGAAAAAGGGCTAGAACATCATCATCAGAACTAAGTTCTTTCAAATACACTATTGCTTTGCAAACTAGTCAGTCATACAAATAAGTCCAAATTAAGCTCAGGAATTTACTAGGATTTGACTGGTGCTGAAATTTATGATGATACATGATATAGAAATTAGAAAGCCCAGATCTGACTACTCGAACTTTTATCCTGGAGCAGATACTTGTAAATCAGCTGATTTTTACTGTCAGAGGTGGGAACAAATTCAGATTTTAACTTGTTGGTTCTGCTGTTTACATTTCATTTATGCACATTCATTATATACACAGAGACATAATGTAATCTAAAGATGCATATGTAGCACAGCTACTGACCTTTTCAAAGATTCTGTAGTTTCTCACTTTTCCTGCAGGTTCATCCCATACAACCAATACCTTGAAGAAGAAAAATGCAATGTATTCAGTCTATGCTACCAGCCTAAAAAGTTTTTTTACAATCACTGACACTACGATAGGGATTCTATCATATTTGCTTGCTTTAAGAAAAGACCACATTTAATTGGTTAAGTAGTTTAACATATATAAAATGCAGTATGTCTCAATCAAGAAGTTTTTTGGAGGTTAGACTCAGAAATTGCAATTTACCTTTCCAGGCTTAGTAGATGAGTTCCTAATACAGTACAATCCATTTTGTGGTTGTCCTTGTGGGTTACTAGCTTTAAATATCCTAAAAAGAATAAATAATGACATATATTACAATTATTCATGTACCTGTTATTAGCACTCAGATAAATCAAATAACTACAGTCTTAAAATTCTCAATACAAATATCTGGTGTGGGTGTAATAATTCCTAGTAGAGCATAGCTGAAAGAAAGTCACTGTTCTAGCACCTGAACCAGCAATGCAGCATAGATCATCTGGCTCTCTGGTCCCATCCAGCATCCTGGCAAAACTACCTCCTCCAGATGGAGCCAAATCACATTGCATTCTCATCTGACAATTCATATATGACCATTGAACTAACTTCTCTAGAAAGTGATTTGCATATTAAACATTTTAGTGCATGTTTTAAACACAAGTTATCAGAATTATCTTTGGACTACAGTTCAGTACAGGTTTTTGTAGGACTTCTAAGGAACTATTTTAAAATCACATTTTACCTTTCAACTTCGAAAGATTCAGAGGTATTAAGAAATACTGAAACAGGCAGCCCAACCTGTAAAAAATATAAAGAAAATAAATCACCATTAAGTCAACGACAACTCAAAACCCTAGCAACTTGTTATGCAAATAAGATACAGCCATAATCTAAAATAATTAATGGTGATTTAATCTTTACTCTTCTTTCACCTTTATATCCAATTTTAAAACTCTGTAACTTATCAAGGCATTCACTCAAGCTCAAAAAGAAATGAAAAAAAACTACACAGCACTGTGTTTTCAGAAAGCTACTCTTCTCCTGAAATAATGCACTTAAAATGTTCCCAAAGATATACATAACCAAGGAAAAAAATATTCTTTTAGAATGGATCATCTGCTTTATCTTACTTTTTCATAATCATCATCAGAGTCATCATCGGGTTGGCTTGGCTTGGAGGGTAGTGCTGGTTTTTCAAATGAAAAGCTTCTAAAACTCTGTCCATCTGGTGGTGATCTCCTGGCAGAAACAGAATGAGAACTGAAGGATATCTTATCAGGAAAGCAGAGCAAATATACACAAAGCACTGAAGGAATAGTAAAACTAGAACTGAAGTTCAGTTTATCCCCCAAATCATGGAATCCTAGAATGGTTTAGGGTGGAAAGGACCTTCAAGACCATCTCATTCCAACCCTCCTGCCATGGACAGGGATACCTTTCACTAGACCAGGTTGCTTGGAGCTCCATCCAAAGTGTGCCTTCCAGGGATGGGGCATCCACAGTTTATGTATCAGTCTGTGCCAGTGCCTCACATCCTCTCAGTAAATAATTTATTCCCAATATCTAATCTGAACCTACACCTCACCTTTTTCAGTTTAAAGCCATTCCCCCTTGCCTTAGCACTCCATGCCCGTGTCAAAAGTCCCTCTCCAGCTCTTTTGTAGCTCTTTTAGGTACTGGAAGGTGTTCTAAGGGTCTCCCCAGAGCCTTCTCTTCTCCAGGCTGAACAACCCCAACTCTGTCAGCCTGTCCTCTTAGGAGAGGTGCTCCAGCCCTCAGATCAACTCAGGGGCCTCCTCTGGACCAGTTTCAACAGTCTTTCTTGTTTTGGGGGCCCCAGAGATGGAGGCAGCACTTGCAGATTAATTTGGGTAAGGAGAGACTTCTAGAGATCATTTAGTCCAAGCTCCTGCACAAAACAGGTCCAACCAGATCAGCTAGATTCACTGCAGATTTTCAAATAACAGGCAAAAAAAGCACAACAGAGAGGGATGGTGCAGGGAAGGGACACAGATGTTGTTATGAACCTGAGTATGCCTAAACTTGTTAACTAATAAGTGACTGAAAAACAATAGTGCATTGTGTTTTCATACTTACTGTAACTGGGGACATAAAGATTTCTCTGTTCTGGGCTTGACTGCAGGGGGCTGGTGGCTTGGCACGACTGGCTTTGGGATCACTGGTGGCACAAACAGTCCAGGTTTACCATGTTCCCTTGGCACTTTGGGCTCTACTAGCTTTTCAGCAAGCTGTGACAACTTGGGTTTATTGCCTGGCAGAGGAGGAGGGGTCCGTGGGGAAAGGTTTAAGCCTTTTAGCTTCTCACATGCTTCTGGAGGAGCAAGGACTTGGGCTGGAGGCAAAGGCTCTGGAGGCAGTGGGTGAGACTCTTTGCCACTTGCAGGCTTTTTGAACACAGGTAAAGGGGGCACAGGGGGTGGCTCTAGTTTGATTTCAGGTAAGCTCCTCTTAGGAGGTGGTGGTGGTACTGGTGCAGTGGGTTTGCCAGAGAAGGAATGTGCCCTTGCTTCTGAGTAGGGAGATTTCCTGACGTGAGGAACGGGCGGAGGTGGGTACGCAGGGGGCAGGACCATATCTGCAGGGAGAAAACCAAAAAATGTGACCTACTGAGGAGAAACACAGTATGTCATCAAAAGAGACTGCTCAAATCCATTTTCTATGTGTCTAAGATATTTCACTGGCATCAGGTCTGATAGTACTCAACATGCTGTCTAAGCATTTAACTTCCAACACAATTCTGAAAATTATAAGTAATAAACTCCTGCTATTTTTCTTCAGGCATGGCTTATGAAAGCTTAGTAAAGTCTTTTCACTTTGTATCTGTTTTTTCCTTAAAAGCATTACTGCTGCTCCAGACTGATGACCAGATACAGGTCATTCCAGGCAGGAGGCTCCAAGAAAACACACCCCTAAAGACATGTAATACTTTCTGTAAATGATTACTGCTGTTATTACAAACTCCTGACCCTAAATACCTCTCAAGATTAGATATCTCTGCATTACTTCAGTTATTTTGCCAGCTGGAATAGTAATGACTAATACAAAATAATAACCTGGCATTCCACATGAATATTGCCTTCACTGGCGGCCTTTCACAGGGCCTTTTGTGAGGGGAATCAAAGATACCACATACCATCCTTCACTATGTCAGAAGTATCCGGCTGCAAATAAGACTCATCCTCTTCCTCCTGATCGTAATCTGCAGATAAAAATCAGTGTGTCAGACTCTGATAAATACTCTTGGAACCTAGGAAACCTAAGAAAGAGTATCAAGTACTTAGGGCTCCTTAAAACAGATATTTTTTTCTAAAGAGATGAAAAAAAATAATTATTTTGATCCATCTTTCTGCTATCTAGGTGTTTCCCTAAATTTTTATGTCAATTAAAAAAGCCATCTCTTGTAACAGAGGCAGATCAAGTACACTGCACATTAAATTTTTTTTCAACTTACAAGTTAAAACTATTTTTTGGTGACACTTGCTAGTGTTCCAGCCTTCCTGAGACAAGTTCAAATCAGTTGCAGAGATACAACTACATGGATGTGTTGACAAAAGCACTTGGGAAAAACCACACCCCCCAAAATTTAACCCTATCACAGAAAAACTTATGACTTTGCAATATGGAAGATTAAACAAGCTTAGTGACCTACAAAACAATTTTAATTCTTTTGCCTTGCTCTGGCAAAAACAACAACAAAAAAAGCATCACAACAAATGGCTTAAGTGGTTTCAATGTTGCCTTTAACTGTAAATTAGAATAGCCAAGCCACAAAAAACATGTTACTTCTAGGCAGTAATTTCTCATCATTGATTATAAGAGGAGCCTGGAGGACAATATGCAGAGGAATGCCCTAAAAAAAGGCTAGAATATCTGATAAAAATCAGTTACTCTAATTGTCCTAATTTAAACTCCTACCAGGCCTCTTATCATTCATCTTGCATACAACCCTCCCCTCCCATAAAAACAGGACTAAACTACAACCCCACATGAATTGCTGATGAGTCTGTTCTCTGCTTGCAGCAATGGAACAGGATTTCCTAACAAGACCCATTCCTGCAGAATAGTCAGGAATTTCCTTTCAGGAAATGAGAGGACTCGCTCCCATCAACATTGCCCTTAGAAATCTGAAAGGGCAGATGGGGAAAGGCCAAGAAAAGGATCCCTGCTGACCCTCAAGGCAAGGTTTCTCATGTTGGTTTTCACAAACATATTTCTTGACTAGGAACTCCACTGCTGAAATATGCTGTGAATGCCTACCTGACAGGCTTTCTGTCATGTCCTCACTTTTGATTAACCTCCTTAAAGGATCTGAAATTCTTTCATTTATTCGTACCAACAGTTAATGGCACAGAATACCTGTTGCTGATTTAAAACTACAACAGAGATACACCTTGTTAAAAAACACCAGTTACAAATTGGATTGGTTAACTTAAGCTATGGGAATAATTCCTCCAGAATTCAGAAGAAATAAATAAGCAACAAAGAAGTCTTATTTATCAGTGTCTGAATTTGTCACCTTCATTTTCTGCTGAATGGTGGGAATACTTGATGTCAATGGGACGTTCTACTGAGCCATAGAAACTGTCTGCATCAGAACCAGAGTCACTGCAAAAGAAAAGACAGAGTTACTTCTGTTTAGCAGGACTGCAGCACTGGAAAGGAATGCTGGAAAAGCAGAAGCAATCTGTTCCTATTTCCCAGTTAACATCCAGATATGTTGATGCTATCTTTTAAAAGATTTAATTTCTTTTACACAAAACTGACACTGAAAGTGCTCTTTGTTTAAAGATGTGGGTTTTTCTTAATATACTTTGAAATATAAATTGGGAAGGGATTTTCTTCTTGAGTCTTACTGTGGCTGTTCTTATTTAACAGGAAGCTACTTGTAGGTTCTTATTTAACAGGAAGCTACTTGTAGGTGCAAAAAGCCTAAAACACCACTGTGAAGAGCTAGTGCAAAAGGGAGAAAAAAGACAATAAAGAATAAGGGTTTATACCTAAATTCTGTTATTGTTTCTTTCTTCTCATGGTAGTGACCAATTTCCCTTCTCAAAGATAGCATCCAATTCTAAACAAAAATAAAAATAGAACATTCAACACATCAATTTTTAAATCATTAAATGCAGTTGTATCTTGTCCTCTAAGATCAGAGTAACTGTGCAGGGAACATACCTTGAAATAGTATTTATCCATTACTTTTTTTAATGAAAAGACTCAGCAGTCAAATGTTTTGACTATCTAAAATGCTGTATGAACCTACAGAAGTATTAAATTTTCAGCTGGCAAATTTCAGGCTGTTATTCCTAAAGCCATATATATATTCAGAGTATGCATACAGGTGAGAGATTTCACTGAACAGTTTTCAAAATTTATCAAAAGCTTAACATGTCATTAGTTTTTCCTTGGTGAAAAATAAATACAGAATATTTATTAAATATGGAGAAGCCCATACCATCTAGTATGTCACAGCCATTCCCTAAATTACAAGTTGAATTAACACTAACTTAATAGTTAAAACTTCAGACATGATTTTCAGAGGAGCCCAAAGAACTAGGTATACAAATTTCAGCTGCATTTCCAGTTCATTTAGATTTTAGGAAGTCCAAGATTCGCTTTTTGCTTCAAGGAAAATGCTATTGCAAAAGAAGAAAGTTACCTTTCTTTCATCTTCAGAAGAAGCTGAAAAAAACCATGTCCTGTGCTTCTTGCTTATGTGAACTAACTTGAAAGGAAACACATTGCTTGATGTTGTCTCCTCAGCTGCCCTCATAACCCTGAGAAACAGAACAACCAATACAGAAACACCTTAATCTATAGTTAAAGTTAATAGTTAATCTATAGTTAATAATGTTATGCAATGTCATGAAGACTGACAGAAAGCAGTTTCACTGGCCAGTTTTGCTTTATGGAAAATATGCCCAAGCCCAGAAATTCACCACAGAAATCCCCCTGTGTGCATTTGCAGTACTTCTCCATTATTGTGGTAGAAGGGACAATGCAAAAGGAAGAGCACTTGTCAGTCCAGCAGCCAGACCCTTACAAACATCTGCTTTGACCTGTTCAAGAGTTAATGAATCACATTCATTCATAAGCATCACACACTGCCAGAGGTACTCAGGGTGCTTGTGGCCTTTATTTCAAGAAGTCACTATTTCAGAAGACAAATTAAAACACATTTCCTGTTAAAATAAGGAAAAACTAATAATAAAAGCAAACTTAATTTTTACATGTTTCCCTTACAAACACTTTCTTGAACATTTTTTATTATTTTAAAGTAAGCATAACTTAACCACTTTCTTTTTTGTGTGTGTAAGGAATTTCTTCATTTGGGGCTCCTGGGAGAAAAAAAAAAATCTAAAAACCCCTTATGCAACTACTCAATCTAGCAATTCTTTCAGCAAATTCTTTTTCAATAATGTTTGTCTGTGCTTTATATTAATCAAGACCTGGTCCCTATTCCAACCAAGGCCTCTACAAGACTGCTAGAATGTATCTTCAGATACATAAAAAGGAATGAACAATCTCAAGCATTTACAGATTCCATGGTATTGTTCACATTCATGTGGATAGCAGATGCTGGTGTCATGACAAAATTACTGTGTGGGTTCCTTCTATAAATTAATCTTGAATTTTTAACTAGGTACAGTGTTTACCAGTGCATTCCCTTAAATATATGCCATTGTCATGCTCTGTTAGAAAAGTTCTCATAATTTAAGAAAAGGTAATTCCTTGTTCCACAAGTCTGAGAACATTATACAGTACAAGATATACATACACAAATACCATAAAATTGCAGTGGTTAGGATCAATACAGTGATATTTCTTTACATCTCCTCTTTCTCATTAAATCTGTCTTAGCATCAGTTTCAATAACAATCCCCTAGTTAGGCTGGACTTTTATTAGTAGGCCTTGTACCTATGAGGCATTCAGATTCTGACCGTACTGGCTAACTTGAAAGCCACATATTTCTGTCTTCAACTTGCAAAGTAAATATTAAGATTAAAAATGTGAAGTGAAATGAGTCAGATACTCTGCACATGCATTCTCTTATTTAGCACTTTGTAGTTGATACAGTTTCATCACTAACTACAGTTTGCCAGACTAGTAACTCCATACATTTTCTCTTCTGATTCCTTTCTGGTCACTACAGAACAAAGATGGTCTGTCTGAAAGAATCCACATCTATGTGCATGTGCAGTCTGCACTAATCAGTAACAGGAGCAAGGCCATTGCAATTCAAACAGCTTTACTGGTTAAATTACAGAAAAGGAAGGCTATCCACTTGCTGAGCACAGGAAATGGCATCTATACAGTTTGAAAGGAATACATTTCTTGGAATCTGAGATCAATGCTTAAGCCAAGCAACAGATGTAGCTGTGTTGAACTTTATAAGAAATGAAACCCACAGCCCTTAGCATTAAGTAAAAGGAGCTTGGGTGTTTAACAACTTCCTTGGCACTTACCTGTTGTAACCTTTCAAAGAAAATGCACCCTGGGGAGATGCAGATGTGCTGCTCTTAAAATAGTAGATACATCCTTCGTGGATAATAACAAATCTCAGTGGCCCTGAAAAGATAAAAAGTGATCAAAATATAAGTCCAAGGGCAGCAGAACAAATAGAACTTCTTAGCATGTGTAGAATTATTGTTTAAGATCTTAGTAATTATATGAATCACTGTAAATGAGTACAAACTAGTTAAGTGACAGCTCATTGATGATCAGCCACACAGTGAAGCTGTCCATTTGCAGTTTCAGGACTAAGAGTAATATTGGAATCCCTCACTTGAGAGGCAGCTGATCTGAAAACTTCAAAAGAAGCCTCAGAGACTGCAAGCCTGGCCTCCACCTGTGCTCCTTTATTAGTGGAATAAGCAATAGCAGCAAGGCAGCCACAGTATACAAACACATATTCACACCCATCCCCAAACCATTATCTCCATCTCCTCTTTCACCTCAAGTACATAATCCTGCGAACAAAATTATATCCTGCTTTCTTTTTTTGAAAGAGGCCAAGACTCCTTCCTTTATCAAACGCAGTAATCTTTGTCCTTAACTATATAAGTATCATTTCAGTATAAACAGGGATACCAAATGAAAAGCATATAAATAAACTCAAAATAGGAAATTTTCCCCATGTAAGTAGACACTGATTTCAGAAGAAATTACTGTTATGAAGTACAACCCAATGTTGGCAGTGAGAAAATTTCCATTTCACAACAGCAGTAGGAGATGGGAATATTTTTTCCAGTACAGAATAACCAACTGGAAAAAAAAAAAGCTGAGTACTAACTTCTTTCAGAAAAGAGTATTTGAAATTGATACATATCCTGGGAATCTGTTTGTCTTGAAAAATCTTACTTGTGAAGGACTTGACAAGAGAACTAAACAAGCAAAATAAAATCAACCCCAACATATATTATTGAAGATTTAAATTTGCAAAACAATTAAAGGAAAATCTTTCAATATGAGTCTTTCATACATATATTCCAGTAAAATTGTATTCCAATACAAAGTGGAAAAGCAGCTTCAACAGTCTGCTAACAAAATCTGTTACTGTGCCCAGAGGCAAGCATTTAAAACATTTAATTTAGTTAATACCTCGTTCAACTTACACTTCAGGATCTGCAGCTGGGTGCCTCCTTTTTTATGAAGATACCCTGACTTGGTGACTCCTCCAGGCATTGTCAGAAGGTTTTGTGCTCCAATTGCCTTCATTGGGACTGGCCAGACCTGCTCCTGCAAGGCCATCATTCTGTAATTCAGAATAATTAAAAACAGAGTTTTAAAAAAATCTGAGTTTAAAACTCAGATTTACTTTAAGAAATGAGTACTGAGAAGCAAAGCTTGTTTCCTTAAACAAGATTTCCAAACAACTAATGTGGTTCAGCACTCAAGAATGCAACATAGACAGGGTGTTCAAAGATTCCAGGAACTTTGTAATGTATAAAAAAAATGCGTCGCAAAAAGCCCCGATTTATTTTTATACAGCTCTCAAAAGTGATTGACAGTTGTTGAAACAAAGGAAAAGTGCTTAGTAAATGTTACTTAAGTATTTATGTTTTAAAAATACTCCAGATAACAAGATAACACTGCAAGACTGAATCAGGCAGGTGACTGGAAATAAAATTGGTTTCTTCTCCCAAGTGCTACATGACACACATATATACAGAAAATGTCATTTTCTGCACAACAAGGGAATCAAGTCAAGGTTTAGTAACTGCAGCATCCAATACTACTTTCTCCTGATATTTATGTTTTATTCTTTAACTCTTAATTCTTTAACTAAAAGAATTAGTATATAATCTCATACTGTATGTTACATGTGACAGCATCCTGTGCAAATGAAGTTCCTCTCAGATTTCTGCAGGCTTCCATTTAATTCATATATCAATTATTTATGTAATGCTCCACCAAGCATCTCTGCAGTTAGCACTCTTTCTGCTGTCATCTTAAATAGATTAGCTTCTGAGGTAGTAACTTATTCTGATATGTCATTATGAACCCTTTCTTTCTTCAACTACTCACAGAACTAGGTTAAAAATCCTACTGTGTCTTGGAGAAAAGAAACCACACATGGATAGAGTGGGAATTCTGACCTAGACATAAAAGGATCTGTTACCATCAGGTGTAGGGCTAGAGACCTTTGCTGGTAAAAGGCAAACTAATCAAGTTCCAGTTAATTAGTTTCTGATAAAGGCATAATGGTTTAGAACTGAAAAGCTTTCAGTGCAGGACTGAAATTTAATGGATCTTGTTCATTTCTCCTTTACCCAAAAGGGGTAATAAGGGAGGTAAATTGTGAGGCTCAGCACAGAATCCAAGAGCCTCAGCACAACACCCTACCCCAGCTCTTGCCCCTCCAACTTAAAGTGGCTTTTTCCATTCTGAAGAGAATAAGGAAGTGTTTCAGATTTGTTGAAGTGAAACAGCAAAGTACGTATCCATTGTACGGGTTAGGAAAAATGGAAGTGCAAGTCAATGGACCTTGCATTTGGGATCAGTTTAGGATTTAGATCCATTTGCTGATGACGCATGTGTGGGAAAGGGTGGAAATTCCTAGCAATTTCTACCAGGAGAGCTTAAACGAAATTAAATTCTCTAGGCAGCCTAGAAGACTTAATCACAAAAATTAGGTTTGGTCCCCAGTGTTATGAAGCAGATGCAGCCAGACAAGGTAGGATCCAAGGCCCTAAAAAGGCTCCCGTAGCAGACACGTCAAGACACCATGGTATCCCAATTTTCCCCCAGGACCTTCCTGCTCACCAAAAAGTAAGTTGCTTTTGTTCTACTCAGTTATATCCTTCCTTCTGCTGTTTCCTCCCTGCTTATTAAATGACTGAGATCTTTCCAAGCTGAGTTATTTCCTCCTCCTCCTCCTCCTTCACAATGACATTTCTAGCAACAGCAATGTGTCCAAAAAGGGGCTACCCACCTGTTTTAAGCTTTTAAGAATAAAAATCAAAAAATAGTAGCAGAAGCTAACACTCCCCCTGCCCCCCTAAATCCTTCAAATTATTTCTCCACATCTTGCAGAAAAGCTGAAGTGAGGAAAATGGAGAGTGTTACCCAGCTGGCTGCTGACACCAAACCACATCAATACTACAAAGAACAATTTCCTTGAAATAAGGATTGCAAAGGCAAGTCCTGGGCTTATTCTTTTAAGAACACTCACATCAATGTTTAAACATCAGAACTTTTTAAGTTACTTCAGTCTATTTCTAGTTATGTTCAGAAAATAGACTAAGTAATAATGAAACCTTTTCATTCAGGTAAATACCTTCTGATACTACTTTCCCAACATTAGTCTCAATGCCATCTAACAATTTCAAGTTCATCTTAGGTCTTTCAATCCTCTGTACCTTTACTACAAAGAACAGAAAATTGACTGAAGCACTCAGTGCATGGTGTGAAACTGTTTCAGTGTTCTGTACGTAGGTTTTCTGTATGAAAACCTACAGAAGAGGCAGAGTCAAATGTCTCTGAGAGGTTATCCAAAACAACCAGTAAGTTGAAATTTCTAGGAAGCCAAAGTCAAACACTGGCAATAAGTATGTGCTACCCTAGGTAAATATAAGAAAGCAGAAATATTTGTCCTGGTCATATTTTCCTTTTATAGGGGAGTGCACGGGTCATACTTACTAAAGCATGGCTGGATAGGCATTTTCTCCTCTACCTGAAAAGCCAAATCTTAAGGCAGAGAGGAAAGAAACAAAAAACTATGGAAGCAGAGGAGCAAGCAGAAGCAGGGGGAAAAATCAATTTCTGCAGTGTGCTGACTTCAGGATTTACCTGATGGGAAAGGACAGCTGAGTATCGGGTTCTGCTTCCCCTTTTCACAATCCTTTCTTATTTTTGGCTACTTACTATAAAACAGTCCTGAAAATAGAGACCAAAACACAGAACTTCCCCAGGCCAGCTAAGAGAATAAAAGAAGTGAATAATAGGAGACACAGCTGAAATCCATGCCACCAAGTACACAATACATGAACTAAAGAGCCACCCAATGCACCAGGCTTTTCAACAGACTTAGAGGCAGCTAAGCCTATTATCTGGATTTCAGTGTGGCTTATAACACTCCCCATCATATCTGTACACTCCTCAAACATTTTCATTTGTAGGCACGTAGCAGATACCTAGGGAAGACTTCAGTATTATGAGATGAAATCTTCCAGTTATGTTGCTAAAATGCATTTCAGTACTTTGACTCCAGTCCCAGTCAGATTTTTCTTCTTTTCTTGACTGTAGAAAACAGCTCTGTAAGGACAGATGCCGCTATTTTGCATCACACTGCTGAGATAAAGCTGTCAACACAAATCTAACTTCAGAATCTTTATTGTAGTGGGGGAGTGAAGGAAGAAATGGAAGCCCAAAGATTTTAATGATCTTATCATCTATAGTATGGTTGCCTTTAGCTCACTGCATGGTTCCTTCAACTCTTGATATCTTGATATTCCTGTTGTAACTTCTTTAACAGACTACATCAACAAATGGATGTTGCATTACCTTGTACACACCATAGCAGCCACTGAAGTCACTGCAGAGCCTGATAACTTTGGCATTACTGGGAACAGAGGGATATTTCCCAGTTGTTTCTTATGCAGTTACATTCTTACACTACGAGTCAAAGCCCCCGTTACACATTTTCACCTCTGGTGCATCAGAGAGATTCTTCCACAGGGCTGAAAACCAAGTAAACAGAAAGGGCTCACTCAGCGCAGCCACAGCTCCTCCTGAGACTGGTTCTCTGCCACAAATAGAGGGCAACATCCCATGCATTATTTGTTGAAAGCTTCTAGTAATAGCTATACACTTTACTCCTCTTCCCACTCATCAAGGAATTAGATACATATTTTTAACCAGTTTTTCCACCAAGTCCCAAACCCACTGCGTGTGGCTACTGAATTAATCTTCTCCCCCACTGAATGGAATCCTCTGAACAAGAAGAGGACGGCAGCAGCCAGGGAAAGGTCTTGCATCACTGTTTCTCAGATGATCCCTGTGACAATTATATGCCTGTGAGGGAGATGAAAGGCCTTGCAGTGTAGCAGGAGAAATAGTAGAACAGCAGTTTCTAGGATGTGCTTCATTGTGATCATTGAAGAGTGCTTTTGGAAAGACAGAACGGTGCAATCAGCACTCTGGAGCATGATACAGAGCTTTTATAATCACTATTGTAACTGCTTCTTATATACAAACTGGTCTACCAGACTGAAAACCAAAACAATTTGCAGTGTATTGCTAATGTAGCAATAAAGTCAGCCCAAGTCTATCACATCAGTATACTTCTCTCAAACACTATCACAATGAGCCAGTTTTTATTTCAAAGTACCCTGAAAGTTAAACAGCATGAAAAAAAAGTGAATTCACACACTTCATCTCGTAACCAGGATAGGGCCAGTCAGATACAGAAGTGAAACATAGTACTGCTACCAAGCTCAAACTCTGAATGGATAGCAGACTTCTGTTATTGTGTAGCAGGAAAAGATCTATATCTGTGAGGCAATTTTAATCTAACCTCTCACTCAGTGGATAGAGAATAACTAGAATGAAGGCTAGGGTATAACTTTACAGGCTGAAAGTCCCTCCATGAGTAAAAGTAAAATTCTGCCACATTAAAAGTCTGGATTACATTGTAGAAGAACACTTATCCCTCTTGGCCTTAAGAGTTATTGGAGTTCAGCCCAATTAAAGCAAATACAAGTTGATTCAATTAAGGATTGCATCCTGGGAAAGTCCTCAGCTCTTGCTTAACTTCAGCAGAATATATGGCAGATGTGATTATCTCCACATCTTGCAGTATGTAGGCAAAAAAAAATATTACCCTCTTCTGAGATTACAGCTGCCAACAGTTGTTTTAAAAGTTCTCACATATTACAATAATATTTATGATCTGGCCCAGTTTGGTCATGCTGGAAAAAACAAAAAAAAACAGCCTGAATTTGTAACAACGCTCTCTATGCCAATTACTGAGAACTTTTACAACTTTAATCTCATAACCTCTAGTCCTTAAATTTTTAGTGGAAGCAAAACATAGCTAAACCAGATGCTAGCTTACTTCTAAATATATAACTTACAAATAACATGACACATATAATATATAACTTGCAGAAATTAATGTATTCCTCAAATTATGCAGAGGGAGACTGAAGTATCAGGCTTTACCAAAAATGAGGCAGCATTACACAGTGCAGAACAGGAAAAGTTTCCCCTACATGCTCTCAGCAATTCTCAGTTAGAATAATTTCTCTGTTT